ACCATATGGTACAGATATATAAAAGCCATTCCTCCTGCTATGCCGATCGCTATTCTTAAACTATATACAGGCTTCGTGCTTTCCAGAAACAGGTTTGAAGTCTGAAAATAAATAGTAAAGGACAGATAACAAAAAATGATACATGATACACTTCATAGCAGACAGTTCCACAAAAGGAAAACTAGTGCTGGGAGTTTAAACTGGCCACAGATCCTCTTCAGATCTCAGTACCAGATTAATATACAGTCTAAAAATATGCAACACTATGATGTCAGGAATCTTTAAAAGTCTGTATGTGTGAAAATATATATTTTAAACATCTGTGCAGTAAAAAACTTACCTCCCTTACCAGACTTCTTCTTCCTCCAAATGAAAACTCCAACACAGCCAATGAGAATGAGGAGCGGACCAGCCATCATGATGACAGCCATCCCATACCGCAGTCTGCTTGAATCACCTGTGTTACATCATTTTAGACCTTCATTAGGCACATCATAAACACAATGTCCCTCATTCATTAAACATGAGCAGAACACATGACTTTTTTTGTCAGTATTTCAGAAGGCTTTGTTATGTGCTGGTCATTTGTAGTCTGTGGGCTTAAATTGTGGTGATGTTATGCTAATTGTTGGTGTAGTGTAGTGGGTAACAGGGTTTGATTCCCTGCCTGGACAAGTATACTTCACTACACCAATAAGAGTCCTTTGACAAGACTCCTAATGATACATTCACCTGCCTCTGTAACATGATTGAAAATCTTAGTAGTTCTGGGTAAGAGCATCTATCAAATATATGAATGTAATGTAATTGTGAAGGATTGTGCCTGTATGCCCAATTTCTGAACAGCTGGCTTTCATTAACATGTTCTCTTAACAATCAGTCATTAATATTCTCTAGAAGCAGATAGAAGCAGATTTCTCCTACCGCGCAAGACTCTGCAGTCAGACGCCTGCAGCACCATCTCCTTCTCCAAGCCAGGGTGCTGAATGATGCAGGTGTAGTGGTGTTTGTTCAGCTCCTCAGCTGAGACAGTCAGAACGCTCCTCTTCTGAAAGGTTCTATCCTGGTTGAGTAGCGTCTCTCTGGGCTCCACGTCCTCATGCAGATCCTCTCCATTCTTCTGCCAGGAGATCATCACTGATTTGGGGAAGAAACCTGTAGCATGACACACCACTGGAGAAGAAGAGTCCTTCTGGAACAGGTCCACCTTAGGAGGAACTGGAGGGGGGAGGGGTTGTGAAAAAAATGCTTCATTATGCAGAAACATCCATTCAAATACTTTCACTAAAAATGATTAGCTTATGAACATGATGCACCAAAAATAGTGCACTGTACACAAACAATGAGATTTTTCATTCTCTACAGTAATGACTGAGTTTCAGTGATGAGGGTGAAAGAGTGAGAGTGAGCAGTTACAGTAACAGATCAGATCACTGTACCTTTCCTCTCCACAGTAGATCTTCCATATTCCACATACTTCTGTAACCACTCAATACATTCATTCTCCAGGTAGGACTTTACATGACCAGCCATAGTTGTCTTCTCCCACTTCAGTTTGGTAATAAAAGCTTTAGGATTAGGTGCAGCCCAGGTGAGAGTGTTCAGATCCAGACTGAGGAAGTCTTCTCCATCATAACCATCCTGCCTGTAGAACTTCTTGGTTCCATCATCATGTATTTCACAGCCGTACATTCTCTGCACTGTATGAACACCTGCAGACACACACACACACACACACACACGAGCATAACAGCGATTACAATACAGAAAATACAACCACAATGACATAGAACACCACAGCATTCACTAAACCACTGCTCCATATTACATGTTCCCTTCGCTAATGCACCCTACACATTTCATACATGTACAGGTGTTACTGTAGAGCTGGTGTTCAGTGTTTAAAGCTCTGAGTGTGTTTATTCTCACCTTCAGTCTGATTGAAGCGCTTCATTATAGTACCCACACTGGCTTTGAAGTTCTCCTGAGCTCTCTGTGCTTTCTGTGTCTCTGTGTTCCAGTAATCTTCACCCTCACTGTTCTTCATCCACTCTGTCCTTGCGATCATCTTCTTGATGTTACTGTCATAGTAATCAATCTGCTCTCCATCCACCAGACCCACCACCGAGAACTCTGGGAAGTGTATTCCTGGTGTGACTGCAGTGTAGAAGTACTGCAGAGAGTGGGTTGCTATAAAAATGACAAATACCACTGAAATCGATAAACAACCAGATCAATGATCAGATCAAAATGCTGTGCTAAGACAAGACTGTGTTTTTTGTTTTTTGTTTTTTTTTTCATTATTTTTACTTCATTACAGTATTATTGTGGAGGATTTATACCTTACTCAAGTATTGGAATTGAATATTTGAACGTTTACTCAATTACATTTCCAAGTGAAACAAAAGCTATACTTTTTACTCCTCACATTTTAATTTAGATCTTCAAAGTACTTGATACAAATCTCAAAGGATGGGAGATTTTTCTCTGTTTTTTATATTATGATATCAAATTGTGTACTGTTTACTGTTTATTTACTTTTCAGAAATATAATGTGTCATAATGTGTAATTCTTGATTATAAAAATTATTCATAAGCAGGTATATCACAGACACAACTAAACATTGTTAATGAAGCAGCTATTTCACACGGATTGTTCATGTTAATTTTATAACCTAAAACTTATACAGTTTATGATTGGTAAAATTTCAGGTGAATTCATAGATATCAAAACTATAGACATCAGAATAAACATTTTATATATCCAAAAAGTATGTTGTGCTTTTAATGTAAGTTTTCTTTGATAGCTGATGTTTCTTCTGAGGTGAATAATGATCTCATTTCTCTCAGCAAGTGTCATCACTCTAATTCACATCTCTATTCTAGGTGTAACATGCTTATTAAATGAAGTGAGCATGTTATAATTTATCCCAGTCTCATGCATTTTATTAATATGTCAGGGTACATATATTCTAGTGGAGATTTTAGTGAGACTGAGTGGAGAAAGTACAAATCTAATTCATTATACAAATGGGAAACAAATGGAATACATAGTAAATGACTAGTCAAATGTTAGTATAGCCAACACAAGTAACTATGCCTTAATCTGCGCACTGATAGTTTCCATGGTTTCCGTCTCCACTCTTCAATGATAATAAACGCTTATATAATTAAACAGTGTGTCAGACAGCACCATCTGCTGAACAGAAACTCCTTTGCATTTACATAACGCAAGATTTTGTATTTTTTTCCAACAGTGAAAAAAAAAATCATATTTATGTAGTAGGCCTACTAGTCTGTTCAAACAACAACAAGATTAAATACATTGATTAAAGTTAGATTTGTATGACAAAGTACTCTGTTTTTTGGAATATGAAACACATTAATAATATTAAGATCTAAGTATATAACAATATTGTTGAATTATACACTTCAAAATGTAACTAGGCATTGTCAACCATGCTTAATTGTTAATTGTAATTTAATGTAAATTCTTGTAAAAGTTCATCAGAATGAATGTTACACAAACAAAGATAGCATTTGACCAACGTTTGGTGTAAGACTGAGATCAGACTTACCTGCTGATACTAAATGAACATTCACAGCCAGAACAAACAGGCATTTCTTGGCCACCGTACTGTAATCCATTATACATAGGGTAGGTCTTACTCTTCTGTGCATGTAGTTCTCTCTCTTACACCTACTCAGCAGTGAATAAAGGAGTGGCCAGGGTTGCTAGATATTTTCAAACTGGAATGTTTGCATGATAGGTACATTTAGGGGCGGAGAAAGAAGCATTACAGTATAATATTATAGTAACTTGAATTTGAAAATAAACTTTGATACACAAAGGCTTTAGTATCCATTTTTATTCAATTATATATTTTTTTTAACGTGTATCACAGATAACACTCAAATCCTTATACTCTTCAAATGATTCCTCAAGTTTTTAGCAGTTACGAAAAGGAAAACTAAACAGCAATTGTGTAGTAAAATGTGCAAAAAGGGGTGCCCAAACTTTCACAAAAACATATTTCAAACAGCCTGCCCCCAGAGATCCAGCCATAAAGCAGTTGTAATTTTTCAAAACTTCTCCCACCTTGAGAACACCTCATCATAAGGGGTTTTCCTAGCCTGGCAAGACTGGCACTTTAAGGTTTTGAAGATTTTTAAAATGTTTTAAGGTACACATATAGCAATTTTCCATATACAGCAATGCATTAATAAATGTTTTGGCAACCATGCAATCCATGAAAATCTCCTAGCAAGGACTTTATAAACACACTTTATAAACACAAAAATCACATTTAAGGCGGCTGTTCAGGGTCACTCGTAGCTAGGAACAAGTCAGCACTCCAGGCTGATTTCAAAACTGAAAGTACTGCTGTGCTTTGTTGTCAGCTTAGTGTATTTTTTATTCACTGTGAAAAAGCACAAATCTCTGAGCACTTCAGGGAAAAAAAACAGGATAGGATACAGAACTGAGTAAAAGTCAAAAACTACCTTCATGTATTGAATTTCCAGTTAAAACGTTAAGCACCATTAAGTATGAGTTTCAGGGGAATTCTCTGAGGAAATTAGATATAATTTGCATAAGGAAGTAGGAAGTCAAAGTAAACTAAGTGGAAAAAAACAGGAGCTTCCAAAACTGGAGTTACAGTTGCGAAGCTACAGAGAAAACGGGACTCCTAACAACCACCTGCAACACCTGGTAGAAACCAACACTGTCCCCATCTGTTATGTTTCGGGTCAGGACGTAACAGAAAATGAGAGTGGGCTCTCTCCCCAGACCTGCTTCCAGATCAAACACCAGACACCATTTAAACCAGAAAACAGCTCAGGTTTATTGAGATTTTCTTAAAAGTCTCAGTAAAAGCTTAATGGGGTGAAGGCTTCAGGGAAGAGCATACATCAAAAAAAAAACACAAACAAAAACAACTAATAGTGTTAAACCAACTAAACCTGAAAACAAAAAGGAACAAAAATACCAAAAGCCAGTCTACCTCCCTACATTAAACACAGGTGACACCTAGACCCTTAAGAATAAACATCTTATGTTTAACATAACCATGCAGTTGCTACTACACTTCCAAGGCCTTTGTACAATTTACAAATTAATTCTAAAACCCACACTCAAATTACTTCAAAGTGAATTGTTGGCTAAAACTAAATACACAGTTTTCTGTTTGTTTGTTTGAATGCTGCAAAAATTGTGCTAGTGTACTTTGTTTGATGTCATGGATTTTTTATTGTTACAAAAATAAAAATATTAATATTGTATTAAATAGACTTATGCATGTATCAACAGATTATATCTGATAAATGTTTTAGTAAAATGGTACAAAAAAATTATTAAGGCCCCTCACAACATCAGATTTACCATCTTGTCTTATTTTGGGTGTTTGGGTGCAACAATAAAAACATTAAAAAATCATTTTTTGATGTTATACACCATAACTTCATAAAATGTGAATTTAACATTCACATAATTGAACTCCTCCATGCAAAATAATCCCCCAAAATACACTGTAAAAAATTGAGGGTGGTAAATATAATACAAGTAAATGACATTTACATAAAATAATTCAGATGACAACTTCAGTTGGCAAGTTTAGGTAAAATTCACACTGTTCAGAAAAGCCATTACATTTTACTTAAAATTATGCACATTATGTAGTACAAGTAAAATCTACTACGTATAAAAGCCTCATAAAATATACCCAATTAAATTAAACGGCAGGCATGCGCATTAATTTCAAACTATGCTGAACGAAACTGGTTCTGTTGGATTCCTTTTGGGCACATTGGATAATCACAGGACCTGGAATTCTACAGTGCAAGTTTTAAGGTAATCAATCAATGCTAGCTGGATTGAAGTGAAGCTAACACGAACTAGCTGTCCTTCAGTGTGTTAGCTTAGCATATTAACATTGCAGCCTGTCCTGGCTCACTGCTGCCACTCATTTAAACTAAAGTGGAGAGCCAAGCTTCATTGTGTAAGCTACTTCTAAATAAGTTACTAATGAGCCACGGCAAAGTAGTGAGCTAGCATTCATTTTTGTGGCTAACTTAGCTCTCAGTATGTAGTTAACCTACTGCTCTTTAACTTGTTCATTCTGTAATATTGCTAATAAGGTAGACCATGCTTAAGTAAAAATGAACACGTTATGTTTGAAATGTACAGTTAGCACTGAGCATTGTTTTAACAGTGTTTAAGTCTGTCTCGCCGCTTTGAATATAGTTTGAGTGAGTGATGTGAAGTGAGTTAGTATGAAGCCGCCATGACTAAACTTTCGGAACCACAGTATAACAACTCTTAATTATGTCTGATACACTCATACCACTGCCATCATGTTAACATGCAATTATCATATCAGTATCACTGCCATGCTGAGAGTGTCCAACCACTGAACAAATTCTCTTTTGAGAAATTGGTTTTCATTTTGAAGATTGTTAAATCCTTTGATTTACCTTTATTCACTAGATCAAGGATGTGAACTATGACCATTTGTCTGGAGGCAACACTTGGGTAGATTTGATGGTTACACACCATGTCTGCTTAGACTAATGACATCCAAGGAGAGAGTGGACAGGACTAGGCCAAAACTAGACACCCTAAATCAGGTAAGCTTTGATTAGACTCATAATTTGCTTTGTTGAATTAAAATATATATATATATATATATATATATATATATATATATATTACACAAGATCTAAAATAAATTAAAATACTTTTTATTTTGTGACATCGAAGCACATTCTCAACCAAATACTTTTGTACTTTTACTCAAATAAAAAAATGATAGAATACTATGTATGTTTGGGACTAAACAGGTTCTTTGTTAACAAGGGGGATGACATAGATGGCAAAACCAGTACATTCTGAAGATTCTACTTGTCAAAGAGGTTTCAGTCAATGGTGCCGTCTTTGTTGAGGGTAATGAAATGCTTGCACATTGTGGATGGGATTGATTTATACATTGATTGTAGTTTACCAAGCAAAGCTGAGGTCCACATTTGAGGTGTTTCGGAAGATATTTCTTTAGCCTAATGAGATAAAGCTGCTCAAGAAACACTGAAAGCAAGTTGCTAGCTTGAATGTCAAGAAGCATGATTTCACTTCTACAAAGTGCTCCTGAAGGATGATCTCCTCTGTTCAAGACTACAGAATGTACCCACTAAAGCCTAGACATTTTTTCAAGATTTTACGCATGCTGCCCCTACATAGCATTTTGTGCATCTCATTATGTAAGTATTTTTTTTTTTCAGATTTATTTTTGTCCATTATATTGATTTTCATCCATGTGTTATTTTTAAATTCTGTAAACAATCTTGTATTGCTTGACACTAGTGGTAGTAAAATGTATTGGTAAACTGAAAAAATTGGATAAGATTTACAAGACAATCGATATATTACTTGCTAAAACTGCTTAAATTTTACTCAGTAAAACAAAAACTTGCAGCCTCATTTTTTTGGGGTAAATTCTATGTGATTTTTTTCAGTGCACACAATGCTCTTTAAAACACAGCAAAAATGTGCACAAAGTTAAGAACAAATAATCAACTCAATCCGTGCAACAAAAGTGCTAAATATGGAATTACTTCATCATTGTTTACGTAGAATGTTTTAAAATTTTAAACCATTAAATCCTTAGACCTACTGATCTAGCTACAGTGATTTATGATCGTAGGGTTTTTAGTTCATTAATTACTTTAGATACATGTTGTAAATTAAAGCTTTAGCTTTCACAGTGAGCTCTTTGGTCCAAATCACAAACAGCATGTAAGCTTACTGTACCAAATCCCACTGCCTCACAGAAGAGTATATGATATTTGGATCCTCTGCTTCTACTCGTCTGTGTGATCTCCTGTTTTTCTTGTTGGAGAAGTTTAGAGCAGCGTAGTTCATCATTTCACCATCCTGCTCCTGTAGTAATACAGAAAACACAATGTGTTACAAACATAGAACAATAACTGCAGAAGGAAGGACAGATTTTTTGAAGCTGATCATTTCTTTTTCATATGCTCAGTATTTGCAAAGTCATTGTATAACATTTTAAACAGCATAAAACTCAACTTACTTCATTACAATTATGCTGGTGTATTGTAACTGTAATTGCAATTGTGAGATTCATTTTTTAATTTGAAAAACACAGTTTTGTAAAAAGAATCACCAGGCAATGACAGAAACAAGTCAAAGTATGCCTTAGGAACAGGTTTAGAATTACCTCTTTCTCTTCTTTGAGTTTAGAGTCAGAATCTGTGGGAACAGGTGCAGTTATTTAGCTGCAGACTTAAGAAACATGCACTTAAGTTCTCAAATTATTTATACCATTTTCTTGACTAAGTTATAAACTGCGATATTGTATAACATTTTTATTAAAAAATCAAAAGGTAATTTAGGAACAGACGTATTTTACCCTTTCAATTTATTTACTTGGAAGTTACATTTTGAGATATAAAAAAATTCTTTACAAGTCAAGTCAAGACACTTCTATTGTCATTCCATCTATGTACAAGTACACAGTGGAGTGGAATTACGTTCCTCCAGGAACAACACGGTGCAACATGGATCAAATAGACAGTACAGACAAAGTGCAAACGTGCAGACGTGAATGTGCAAAAAAATTAAACTAGAAACAAACAATAAATACGATAAATAAAACAGACATTAGACACAGTAAACAGACAGGACAGTGCAGCACAGACACAGCACTCATTTCTGAACATGAGCTATATTTACCCTCTCTGAATTGTTTTCTGTACTTCAGTATGATGAACAGCAGGAACAGAAGAGCACTGAGCAGAACCACAATCACAGCTCCAAACACCAGAACCAACACGGTGACCACATTAGCAGTGCAGACAGCTTTAATAAAAGATCAGAAATATATTTTCATTTCATTATTTTCACTAACTGGCAGCCTGTCCATGGTATTTCCTGCCCTCCACCCAATGACTGCAGCTCTCCCCATGACCCAGAAGGATAAGTGGTTTAGATGTGTGTGTGTGTGTTTGTATTTTCACTGAGAAATGCCATTGATCTATGTGTGATAACAGTATTCATTTTAAAAGGCTATTGATGGTTTGGTCCCTAGCCATCTTAAACAGTTATCAAAACTCAAAACACTAAGTAATAAGTAAGACATAATCAGCTGATCAGTTCATCCATTTCTGATGAATGTAGTAAATGGCAAACCTTCTGTAGCTGTGTCTGTGTTCTTGGAAAATATTTCATTTCTCTCTGAAAATAAAGAATCATTGATTACTTTATATCATTTATTTAAATATCCTGTGTTGCTGTTTCATATGGCTTAATCTAATTCAGTACAAATCAGGAGCCAATATTAATCTAATAAAATAACTGACATTACCTCTGATCTGTAAATATGTTGTGTTGCTGAAGATCATGTATTTTCCCTCCAGACTGCTGCAGTAATAGAGTCCTGAATCAGAGTGATTAACTGCAGTTATAGTGAGAGAGGAGTTCATAGAGTTCACACTCATCACTGATCTGTTACTCTCAGTGATGAAGAAACAGGAGTTAGAGGAGGAGGATGATACTGAGTAATATTTACATGCAGTATAAACTGGTACTGAAATATTTGTTTGTTTGAGCCAGAATATATAAGATGACAGAGTCAGACTGTGTTGACACCAGAGAGTGACATCATCACCAGGTTCTGCTTCTACAGTTAAACCAGCCTGAGAGCTCAAACACACTGACAGAACACCTGAAACACACAAACACAACAACAACTAGCATGATCTAAGCTGCTTGTCTGAATGTTTATCAGTGCTCTCTGCAGCCACTGTACAGACTGTCTCAGTGCTTTCAAAGGAAAAACAGATAATGATAGTAACTGTAATATAATAACTTTTCAGAACAAGAAAACTTCTTGCATTAACACTGTCCTGGTCTAATAAATCACCATTTATTTCAAACATCAAAATTAGATTATTGTTAATGGTAATGAATCTTTAGATATAAGACAAAAAGAATTAATTTTACACTCATAAACTGGATGCTTTTTTAAAGTCTGCTCTGCATTGTATAAGACTGAATAAACACACACTTACCAATGCTGCACAGCAGCAGAGCCATAGCTGACATGCAGCCCCTCACAGCTCCATTGTATCTGTATCAGAAAGGAAGTTCCACGGTCAAACAATGTGGGGTAGGTGGGGCTTTAACATCAGCTCACATAGGAGGGAAACAGGAGTCAGGGGTACATTAAAATGGCCTGAGGAAAAATATTAAAGATTTTTGAGTTGGCTTTTCTGTCTGCAAGACTATTATACACACAATTACGCTCAGTTGTTAGATTTGATCCAGTTTACTGCTAAAATTAATTCCTCAAGTTGTTGGGAATGAGTGCAATAAATCCATGTTAAGAGATCATAGATTGTCTATAGCTTGTGTTTCCATATGTTACAGCTTCTTTCTGATGCGACTGTGTTTGTCTCACATATTTGCTACAGTTATGTATTTATTATATATTTATAATAAATCTAATTACACACACACACAGACACACACACACACACACACACACACACACACACACACTTTCTATGCCACCAATAATGTAATACATATTTATATATTTATTTTTTGTTTCTGAAAACCCTGTTGCTTATAAATTTTTTGTTCCATTTCCAAACATTGACTCATAATTGCATGCGATTTGGTTAAAAGACAACTAAATGTTTTTCTTTATCACTAAACAACAGGATTTTTTCTAATGAAAAGGAAATAAATGTCCTTCTTTAACATTATGTGGTGTTTATACAGCAACAGTACAAAAGCTCGAGGTCAGTTTTGTGGTTGGAACATGTTCAAACCATGATATGAAAACACACAGATACACGCAAGCACTCGAACACAAGCATGTTTGTGTGTACGCATACACAATTGTGCATATCTGCATGCATGACTTGGGCAAGGGTGTGCATATGCACACTTTAGAAGGCATCATTTATACCAGCTATGACTATTATATTATAACATACACCGAAAGTATTGATAGCCCGCCACGAAAATTCAGTTTTCTCTGAGCTGAGTATTTCCTCTCTACCATTCTTTACATCACATTTCACAAACATGTAATTTATTTAATTTAAAACATTAAATTTGCTGACAAAACTGTTCATTTGTCTATGTTTTGTGGTCCATCTCAAAGACAAAAGAGATGCTTGTAGACCTTTCCAAACACTGTGGTCATTCAAATATGCATATTTATTCTCTGAGACCCAGTGGGAAAGAGTCCATCATTGCAAGTATCAAGGCACTATTTTTATAACAAACACTGACATGATTATCAAAAAGAGAAAAGGCAGCACTTTTGAAGAAATTGATTTCAGTGTCTCAAAAGAAAAAAAAATCCTAAGAGCATGAGAAAGAACTGAGAGGAGCCAAGACTCAAAGGAGAAACTCCCTAAGAGCATGAGGAAGAACCACTGAGAGGAACCAAGACTCAGCAGGGGAAACTCCCTCAGAGCATGAGGAAGAACCACTCAGAGGAACCAAGACTCAGCAAGGGAAACTCCCTCAGAGCATGAGGAAGAACCACTGAGAGGAACCAAGACTCAGCAGGGGAAACTCCCTCAGAGCATGAGGAAGAACCACTGAGAGGAACCAAGACTCAGCAGGGGAAACTCCCTCAGAGCATAAGGAAGAACCACTGAGAGGAACCAAGACTCAGCAGGGGAAACTCCCTCAGAGCATAAGGAAGAACCACTGAGAGGAACCAAGACTCAGCAGGGGAAACTCCCTCAGAGCATAAGGAAGAACCACTGAGAGGAACCAAGACTCAGCAGGGGAAACTCCCTCAGAGCATAAGGAAGAACCACTGAGAGGAACCAAGACTCAGCAGGGGAAACTCCCTCAGAGCATTAAGGAAGAACCACTGAGAGGAACCAAAACTCAAGGGAAAAACTTCCTAAGAGCATGAGGAAGAACCACTGAGAGGAACCAAGACTGAGAATGAGAAACTCTCTAAGAGCATGAGGAAGAACCACTGAGAGGAACCAAGACTGAGAATGAGAAACTCTCTAAGAGCATGAGGAAGAACCACTGAGAGGAACCAAGACTGAGAATGAGAAACTCTCTAAGAGCATGAGGAAGAACCACTGAGAGGAACCAAGACTGAGAAGGAGAAACTATCTAAGAGCATGAGGAAGAACCACTGAGAGGAACCAAGACTGAGAAGGAGAAACTCTCTAAGAGCATGAGGAAGAACCACTGAGAGGAACCAAGACGGAGAAGGAGAAACTCGCTAAGAGCATGAGGAAGAACCACTGAGAGGAACCAAGACTGAGAAGGAGAAACTCTCTAAGAGCATGAGGAAGAACCACTGAGAGGAACCAAGACGGAGAAGGAGAAACTCTCTAAGAGCATGAGGAAGAACCACTGAGAGGAACCAAGACGGAGAAGGAGAAACTCCCTAAGAGCATGAGGAAGAACCACTGAGAGGAACCAAGACTGAGAAGGAGAAACTCTCTAAGAGCATGAGGAAGAACCACTGAGAGGAACCAAGACTCAGAGGAGAAACTCTCTAAGAGCATGAGGAAGAACCACTGAGAGGAACCAAGACGGAGAAGGAGAAACTCTCTAAGAGCATGAGGAAGAACCACTGAGAGGAACCAAGACGGAGAAGGAGAAACTCCCTAAGAGCATGAGGAAGAACCACTGAGAGGAACCAAGACTGAGAAGGAGAAACTCTCTAAGAGCATGAGGAAGAACCACTGAGAGGAACCAAGACTCAGAGGAGAAACTCTCTAAGAGCATGAGAAGGAACCACTGACATGCACACAAAACCAAATACAGAACAGTAATAGCAGACCAGTCCAATTCTCCCTGTTCTCTGACAGGCTATTCACCACAACAGAGGAGGCCAAGAAGACCAGGCAGAAAAACAGCCCTATGACACAGTTCTGTGATGCTTAAATAGATCCTTAAATGCTTAGATTAATCAATAAGATCATGTAGATCTAAACTAGTTTAGGCCAATAAATCACTGGGTGCTCAATATAGTTAAGATGCTTCTGCTTATAGTTTAATTTTTCTTAAGTTTTACAGCATAAACATTGTTTAGGAAAGCAAAGTAAAAGAGTGTCTGATGTCTGATGGATTGTTACATCTAATATTTCCCCTTTCATTCTTTGCTTTGTATGTAAAATATAAATGAAGGTTTGATGATGCATTTTTACATACATACTTCACTGCATACCCACTATGCTGGTCTTATATTAGCTGCATTGACTGAATTAACTGCTGTTGACAGTTAAAAAGGCTGTTGCTTATCTGTGGTGATAGAAAATGGAGACGTGTTAAAGTGCAGCCGTGTGGTTTTGATGCAGCGTGTTGATGAAAATAGCTTAAGGTCAGTTTTGTGGTTGGAAAATATTCAGACCACAATGGGCACAAACACACAGAGACTAACTGGAGCTTTGGAGTAGATGCACTTTCATGTTGCCTTCATGTATTAATGAAAGAGCCAATTAATATTGATGATATGACAATATTTTCAAGTCTTGGTGAAACAACATCTTTTTCATCCTTTATATGGAAGTCATCACATGATGTAATGATAAATATGTTTTAATAACCCGGTTCCTATGAGTGCTGCAGTAGTAACTGATGAACTGAACTGGATTAACTGCAGTTATACCCTTAACATCCCAGGCTTTTTACATACTAAGGCTTATAATTCAGTATCTACAGGGACTTCAATGCAAGCTGGCTGAGCTATTCTTAGGTTATAGAAGTGTGTAATAAAACTTTGGGCCCTGGTCATTTAAGGGGTTAATGTGGGAGAGGAATTCATCGAGTTCATCATCACCATGTGTTTATTAGGTAGAGCATTTGTAATACTTGGGTGCAACATACACAGTACAGAAGTGCTTGTGTGTTTGAGTCAAAGTGGGCTGGTACTACGTTGTAACCAGTAAAATCACTGAGTTTTTACCTTCAACGCACAAAAGTCATTTTTATCAAATACACTATATTGCCAAAAGAAGAAGAGTCTGGGTTTGGCGGTTGCCAGGAGAACAGTACTTGTCTGACTGCATTGTGCCAAGTGTAAAGTCTGGTGGAGGGGGGATTATGATGTGGGGTTGTTTTTCAGGAGTTGGGCTCGGCCCCTTAGTTCCAGTGAAAGGAACTCTTAATGCTTCAGCACCAAGAGATTTTGGACAATTTCATGCTCCCAACTTTGTGGGAACAGTTTGGGGAGTTTGGCCCCTTCCTGTTCCAACATGACTGAGCACCGGTGCACAAAGCAAGGTCCATAAAGACATGGATGAGCAAGTTTGGTGTGGAAGACCTTAAATGGCCTGCATAGAGTCCTGACCTCAACCCGACAGAACACCTTTGGGATGAATTAGAGCGGAGACTGTGAGCCAGGCCTTCTCGTCCAACATCAGTGTCTGACCTCACAAATGTGCTTCTGGAAGAATGGTCAAAAATTCCCATAAACACTCCTAAACCTTGTGGAAAGCCTTCCCAGAAGAGTTGAAGCTGTTATAGCTGCAAAGGGTGGGCTGACATCATATTAAACCCTATGGATTAAGAATGGGATGTCACTCAAGTTCATATGCGTGTGAAGGCAGACGAGCGAATACTTTTGGAAATGTATATTTATATTGGTAGTTAATTTAATAAAGTAAGACACTGGCAATTATAAGAATGGGTCATTTTATTTATTATATTATTTATCATTTGTAATACTTGGGTGTAATATACACAGTACAGAAGTGCTTGTGTGTTTGAGTCAAAGTGGGCCGGTACTAAATAGAGACGTCATTATGAGTGAATGCAC